GGGGGGGCCCTAGAATAATGTCTAGAGATTTCAGGCTTCAAAAAATATTTTGCTTTAGGTAAATTTGTATTCATTCCCTTTCTTTTCCTTTTGAATTGCTTTACTCACCTAAGCTCTTTAGCCTTTAGACTTTCCAAAAGTTTCCAAAAGTCAGTGCACACTTTCTTTACAAAACCCTTATTCATATCGTATTGGATGCTTTTGAAGGTCTTTGGATTGAGATTTCCATTAAAATATTGAGAATTCCAGTTCCACTTTGTTGATTTCCTTTTACTTTAGTATTCCAAATGTCTTCAATTTGAAATTTCATTGGTTCCCTTTTATTTTAATATTGCCAGAGAAGACCAAGAAGATTTTAATAAGGATTCTTTTCATTTTGGTCCTTTGACTAGTTTTCTTATACATTATATTGGAGGCCCTGGTTGTTGAGGGGGGGGGGCGGGGGCGGGGATTGATTAATCAAGCGTCTACATTATTTGGCACAACCACCCCACCAAGCGGCAAGAAGTCGACAGAATCGACAAAGCCACACAGGGATGCAGCTCCACGCACGTGAGCCACACCTTCCAGCAATCCGCTAGAAGACTGGACTGGCTGTCCCAAGCGGAAACGCCGAGCCACTGGCTACTACTATCCACGGTGGCAGGCTCCACTTTCGGCAACTTCTTACTGTAGGCCACAGAGCACCTCGAAGTCTGCCAGGCACTTTGGTTCAGCCTTCTCTATGGGCTCAAGTGGCTCAGCATCGCCCTGCGCGCCCTCACGGTCAAACTTCTCACTCATCGGCCTTAAGGCGGCATCGCATTGCACTGGCCTGCGTGCCAAGCAGCCTAGGCGCGCTAAGAAAAGCCCACGACTCTCTCTCCTCAGACCACGACGCCTCGTAGTCCTGGCTGGGACTACACATGTGGCTAGATTGGGCGCCAGGCAACCATAACTAGAGCCGGTTGGGTTTCAAGTTGCTACATTTGTTGTAGATAACAGGCTCACCGTCTGTCATGGTCAGCGCAACCGCCACACAAAGCACTGCGTGCCTGAAAACGGAGCAAGCAGACAGCATACAGCGCCGGCGCACTGAGAAGCGGCCTGGAAGACAAGTTCTACGATTTCCTCTCAGACTCAGCTTCTCAACGATGAAATGGCTTTCGACTCTTTTCAAGAAAGCCGTTGCTGTGTTCAGCAAGGAGAGGTGGTAATTAGGTGGGTATGTCAGAAAGATAAGAGGCTCCTTTCAAGTTGCTACATTCATTAAAGAATGGTCAGCGCAAAACACTCTGCGCCTGAAAACGAAGGCAAGCAGACAGCACGCAGCCCTTGCTGCGTTCTTGAGCAAAAAACCAGAGCTAGCACCTCAAGCTCAAAACATGGAAGCGCCTAGCATCTAGAGGGCCCCTATATTTGGCCTTGATTCTTGCTTTACAGATGCAAGCCTTTAGAACCCTGCTTGAGTGTGTCTGGCTTCATGCCAGCCCAGGGTGTACCCGCAGGAGTGTCCCCTGTGGCCCCGTCGAACGGGGGCTTGTCCATGTTCTCCGGCTTGAGAAAGTAGGTGTCCGTAGCGGACAGCAGGAGGCCTATGCCAAAGTTAATTGCCAAGACTTGATGGATTATTGAATACAAGTAGGCAACCTTCGGGCACGCCATAAGGTGACCATAGCGATCAGAGCAGCCAGCCATTTTGGCACGGCGTAAGTGGCCGCAGCGGCCGGAGTTTGTTCAAGACCCACTGGGGTCGGCCGCCTCAGTTTCCATGCCTCCCTTTCGGGAGGCGTGTGTGTGAAACTCTTGGAATCAGAGGCCGTTGAAGTTTACTTGCTGATTCCTACGTTTAGGAGGGGTTGTAGTTTTTGCTTGCCGATTTCTATGTTTAGCAGGGGGCTCTTGGAGACTGCATGAGACGAGAGCCAACGAAGACGCTCACGCAGCGCTTGTGCAAACGTACCTGCTGTTGACCGCACCTGGGCATCTAAGTGCAGTTGTTGGTCCCTGCTTTTTAACTAGAACGAGTATTCCGGTCATCGCATTTGTTTGCATCGGCAGTCATGCAGTTGATCTTGGAGCTTTGCAACTTGGAGGGCTTTGGAGATCGCATTTCATGTTACTTGTGTTACCTGTTTTTCCCAGACAATTTTTTCACTTAGGCTCCTTCAGGGCTCGGGGCAATCAGTCCAGTACGCATTATCTTGAGTGTGTGAGTGTGTGTGGCCTAGGCAGTGCAGTTCTGTGGGCCAAAGTGAATGTTTGGCAAGGCTGTGTGAAGTTCCTGACATCGTTGGCCACCTCACAAGCAAGCAGAAGCACGTATGCGTGTATGTGCAGCCTGGATAGATGGACGGATGATTGGGCGGATGGATGAATGGATGGACGGAGCCACCGAAAGCCAAAGCCACCGATATGCCACTAGTCACTAGTGCAATCCAGGGGGGGTCTCGAAAAATACATTCTTTTGCAGGTGGCCGAGCGTAAAGCCCAAAGAAAGAAAGACAAGGAAAAAAAGGAGGAAGCGGCAGTCTCACCCGATGAGAAAGCAGCAGGAGAAGAAACCAGTGAGGACGAGGACGGAGAAGGTGAAGCAAAGGAGGCCAGTGATGGAGGAGTTGGCGACTCACCAGATGAGAAAGCAGCAGGAGAAGAAGCCACTAAGGACGAGGACGGAGAAGGTGAGGCAGAGGAAGCCAGTGATGGAGGAGTTGGCGACTCACCAGATGAGAAAGTAGCAGGAGGAGAAGAAGCCAGTGAGGACGAGGACGGAGAAGGTGAGGCAG